AAGCAACAGTCTGAAGTGTTGAAAGAGGACTTTAATAATCTGTTGAACACAGTCAGCTCTTTGAATGCTGAGGTGTTTATCAGTGGCCCTATACCGCCAATCCGAAGAGCAGCTGAGAGATTCAGCAGATTGATGGCATTGAACACGTGGCTCTCAACGGCATGTACTGTCCATTCAGTGCATTTCATCGAAAACTTTTATCTTTTTAAGGCAGATGGACTTCGCCTTAACAAGTCAGGAGTAAAATTGTTCAGCTCCAACCTGTTTTACTTTCTGCGTCACTCATCTGTTCCCTCTGCCAAGGACAAGAGACACGAGGAATCTAAACAAGAAGAAGACATAAAACAACACGCCAGAAACCTTTAAGGAGAGTCACCCCAACCCCCACTGGAGGAGAGCTCTGATCACGAGAGACAACTGAGCCAAGAGGAAGAGCCGCCACCTTACCCCCCAGTCCCCATCTAGGTCACCCTTATCTCCAGACACCCTTTCTCCCCTCTCTCCCCTGTTGGACTTCACTGATCACATGGAAGACCTGGTTAGAGCTGGGACCAAATTTACTCCCTGCACCTTCACCCGCTCCACTCCCATTTTCTCTACCCTAAACCCCCCTCACCGTCCACCTCCACCACTGGTTCTAAGTCCTCCAGGATTGTCACATGTGTCACAAATACAGTGCACAACCCGCCTTCCCGCTCTGCAATGGCGAAATATCCCAGTAAGCTCTGTCTGATATGTGCTGGGTCCAGGCTATAAGGAAAATAGCACTCACGACTCTTCCCAGGACAAGCCGGGTCCCAGTGTGCTGGTAGTCTTCTCCATCCCTGTCTTGATAGGTAACAGAAAAAGAAAGGTGAATGTGTTAAGAAACAGGAAGCACTCAACATACCCTGCAAATTTAGTATTAATTCCTCGTCAGCTACAGCCTGTCGAAAAAAGTGGGCCAGATAATGTTTTTAACACACTAAAATTAGCTTTGTTAAACGTTAGGTCTTTGGCAGGAAAAACATTTTTAATCAATGATTTTATAATCACTCACAATCTTAATTTCATGTTTTTAACTGAAACTTGGTTGGACCAAGATAACAGTGCAGCTGTCTTTATCAAGTCTACTCCTCCCAACTGTAGTTTCATAAGTGAAGCTAGAGTGCATAAGAGAGGAGGTGGAGTTGCCATTTTGTTTAATGACTCCCTCCAATCCAAAAAGATGTCTTTTGCTTCTTTTCAATATGTGGCTCTTCAGCTGAATTGCTCCTCTCGAGCTATTTTTCTAAATTTCTACTGGCCCTCTAAATACTGTGCAAACTTTTTTGATGACTTTGGTGAACTGCTGTCTATAAACTGTATTGACTTTGACTGTGTAGTTATTGTTGGTGATTTTAACATCCATGTTGACAACCCCCAGGACAAAGGGACTAAAGAACTGTTTTGTGTTCTTAATAATTACGGACTGAGCCAACATGTGACAGAGCCCACACACAATAAGGGGCACACTTTGGACTTAGTCATCTCCAAGGGTCTGGACATTTCCAAGGCTGTGGTGACTGATGTTGCTCTCTCTGATCGTTCCTGTGTTTTCTTTGAGAGTGCTATCTGTGTGCACACAAATGTACAAACAGAGATAATCACAAAACGGCACATCACTGAAAACACTAGTGAAAAGTTTATTGAGGCTTTCTCCTCGACACCCGCCCTCTCACAGGTCTCAGTCAATGAGCTTGTAGATAATTTCAGTTCTAAAATTACAAATGTTATTGATGCCATTACAATTACAAAGTCAGCCTACTATCACCTGAAGAATATATCAAGGATTAAAGAATTTATCTTCAGTCGACTCGACTACTGTAACGGTGTCCTTACGGGGCTCCCTAAGAAATCCATCAGACAGCTGCAGCTTATTCAGAACGCAGCTGCTCGAGTCCTCACTAAGACCAAAAAAGTGGATCACATCACTCCAGTTCTGAGGTTTTTACATTGGCTTCCTGTATGTCAAAGAATTGATTTCAAAACCCTGCTGTTAGTTTATAAAGCACTAAATGGTTTAGGGCCAAAATACATTTCTGATCTTCTGCTTCTTTATGAACCATCCAGACCTCTCAGGTCGTCTGGGGCAGGTCTGCTTTCTGTCCCCAGAGTCAAAACTAAACAAGTAAAAGCAGCGTTGAGTTATTATGCTCCAAATATCTGGAACAAACTCCCAGATAACTGCAGGTCTGCTGAAACTGTCAGTTCTTTTAAATTAAGACTGAAAACTTTTTTTTTTACCATAGTTTTTAATTAAATATTTTAGATTTTTTTACCACTTCCTTTAAGTAGGAGATTGATAACTTACACTTCACTGTAACTTTTACTGTCCTGTTTTCTTTTTCTTCGTTTCTTCGTTTTTACCTTTTTACCATTGCTTTTAATTAAATATTTACACGGTGAGAAATGAGTCGGTAATTAAGTGAAAAGATAATGAGAGTGAATTGAACAGAGTGAAGGAAATGGTCTTAAATCTCTCGCCTGAGTGATATGCAGGAACCTCTGTCCACCTGTAAACGCGCAAGTGGGTCCAGACTATAACTGGATCAAAGTGGCCTTCGGACAGACATGTCCTGGTTTCTCTGTGGTGTCCGAGGGTTTTTGGAGTTTCAGTGGACCCAAAGATTGCTATGGACACGAGTACAGACTAGCTAGAGAGAATAGATTAAGTGTACTTCTCTCTTTTTATTATTCTCTTTTCAGAATAATTGTAACTCAATCATTTGCTCAACCGCTCAGCCTGTTTTTATTTTCCATTTAACTCTTTTAACCCTGATTGTACACTGCACTGTAACTTTTATTTTTTAATGTGTATTTTTTAATTTCCCTATGTTGCTTTTAAACTTTTTTTATATTTCCCTGTTGCTTTTATGTTTTATGTAAAGCACTTTGAATAACCTTGTTGTTGAAATGTGCTATACAAAAAAACTTGCCTTGCCTTGCAGCAGGCCAGTCATAGTGAGCCAGTCCCAAACACTGTCAGAAATCTTTACATCTTGTCACGGTCACATATTTGTTTAATCAGCTAATATATCTCCTATGTTTGTTTTAATATCTCTACTCACAGATCACCTCCAGTAGTATCAGCAGCTACAACAACAGCAGCAGCAGCAGCAACATCCCCAGCAACTCCTCAACAGCAACTGTTCCCTGTAAGTTATGTCAGCCCAAAGAGTTTTAAAGCTAGAGCTGGGTATTCCCATGTTTCTGCATCACAGCATTTGCTGATGTATCGATACAGAAGCATCTGTGTACGCGTATCAGCAACGGATGCATCACAATATATTTCTGTATCGATATTTGGAGAACAGCCCTATTTAAATCCTTGTTCCATGTGCCCCTTTTATACTTTGAGCGCTTGCCCTTCCAGAGGTCTCTGCACGGCCCTCTGACTAATACTCTGTTGGTCTGGATAGAAAAAAACAGGCAGGTCTCTCATCTTTGCTTATTTTACTTCTTTAATTCCCTATGTCCCACACTATCCCCCACCTTTTTTTTTCACACTTCCTAAGGGGACTCTAATTGCCCGTGTCCACCAAAGCGTTTCTTTCTGACGCCAGCGTCTTCTGTCAATTCATTCCAATGGGAAAGCCGCGTACCATCTGGTAAAAATGCTGCTGTCTGATTGATTTTTTAGGGAGCCCTGTAAAGACACCGTTGCAGTAGTCGAGTCGACTGAAGATAAATGCATGGATAAGTTTTTCAAGATCCTGCTGAGACATAAGTCCTCTAATTCTTGAGATATTCTTCAAGTGATGGTAGGCTGACTTTGTAACTGCCTTAATTTGGCTGCTAAAATTCAGGTCTGAGTCCATGACTACACCAAGATTTCTGGCTTGGTGTGTGGTTTTAATCGTTTTAAAACTTCAGTTTTATCTTTGTTAATTGAAGAAAATTCTGGCAGATTCAATTGTTAATTTGTTCAATACAGTTACTCAACGCTTGAATGGGATCATAGTCCCCTGGTGATATGGTTATGTAAATTTGTGTGTCATCTGAATAATTATGGTAACATATTTTGTTCTTTTTCATAATCTGAGAGAGTGGAAGCATGTAAATGTTAAACAGAAGAAGCCCCAGAATGGAGCCTTGGGGACTCCACAAGTCATTTTTCTTAGCTCAGATGTATAATTACCTATAGACACAAAGTAGTCCCTGTCCTTTAAGTAGGATTCAAAATTTAGTCCCACCCAGTTTTCAGGTCTGTCAAGTAATATGTTGTGGTCGACTGTGTCGAAAGCAGCACTGAGATCCAATAATACCAAGACTGAACTTTTGCCTCTGTCAGTGTTCAAACAGACCGGGTTGAAAACTGGCACAACAGGGCTTCCCTCAATACGTCGAACTATGACGTCAAAGGGATCCCTAGTGCGTCACAAACTGACGATTATGGCTCTTGACCAAACGTCCATATGTGACGACTTGGGAGTGAGACCGGGTTGGTTCAAATGAATGTCACTGAAGACCTTAACAAGAGCTGTCTTAGTGCTGAATCTGTTGCCATAATGACACATTTGAAATGATACTGGAGTGAACTGTAAATGTTTCCTGCATACAGACCCCAGAAAAAAAAAGATCTCAGGAGTTTATCTGTGAGTTCACAGCAAGAGCACACAGTTTAGTTTTTTGATCATGTCAGAGACCTGATCCTTAAAAATGATAGCTATTAATTTGTCTGAACCAAAGAACATTTGTGTGACAGTCCTTTATAATTTTATATTTATATACATTTGAATAAATGCTCCTTTGTTCTGTTTGTGGAACTTCATGACAAAGGTTTGCAGCATTGATGCTATCCCATCTTCTGTCAGTGAAACATATATTAACTTTAAAAGTGTCTAACAACATAACTGAAGTTCTGTCTTTAGACTGGTTTACTGATTGCTTAGCAGTGAAGTTAAGCCCTTAAAAACATCAGATTTAAAACAGACTCACAGACCAGGTTGTTTCAATGATTGAACCTTTTAATTTGCATGAGACAAGAAAGAACAGTTCACTCTGCAGAATAAGTTTGTGCTAAAAGCATTCTTTCATAACACATTCAGTCTGCTGACCTCTGAGACGATCCAGATCTTCTTAATTCACTTGTCACTTAGTTTTTTAAGTAGCGTTACAGCGATAGAGAAGAACATAAAGACATGAAATGAGATATAGAGCCTTCAGTGTACACATGAGACTGATGGCATGAAGAGAGAGAAAATATCCACCCATGTTTTAGATTTTTCCAGGTGCTTCATGCCTCTGTGTCAGCCCATGAATCAGGTGGTTTTCTTTACACAGACAGATTGAAGGTGGTAGTGACACTTTGTATCATCCCAGCATTTGTCACCTGTGTGTATGAGAAACACATGAGTTTCATTGTTTAGCAGAATATATAATATGATACAAAGTAAAACTAAATATTTTATAATAATATTTTAAATATTTAAATAATAAATGGGAGGCTTTAAAGCCATGGCAGAGGTATGAAAAGATATATATTTATAAATTTATCTCACTTTTGTCATTTATATTGCTTTAATTATCAACACTAGTTCTCATGCAAAATAATGTATTTGATGATTTACCTCCATAGTTCATTTGTAAACAGTGCTGATATCCATCGTTATTTGGCTCTCCCCTGCACCAGTATGAAAAGGTGAAAGGTGTACCATCACTCCAGAACCAGACACGCTCCTGAAAAATATAGATTAGAATAGAATAAATGCTTAAATAACAATATAAACTAAATAAAAACAAACTGCAAATACCAACTACTATAAATACCATTAAAAGCTTTGACAAAACATTTTCGTTAGAAGGTCTTATTTATGTCCTGCAAAGAGAAACAACTGCATCAATCATTTCAGCAAGAGCCCCAAGCCTGTTTACTTTCACGTAACAAAGCCCTCTAATGGCTGTAATAATTATAATAAAGTCATGTGACTTTGTGATAGAGTGACAAAGTCCACATAGGGAGGAGGTCACATCTCATGACCTTCCTGAGCAAATAGATGTCAAACTATTATTTCCAAGGTCAAGAATTTACCTTCAATCATCAATGAATGATTTACCTCTTCACTGTCAGAGCCTCCGAGCCAAGTCTGTGAATTCCCATGAGTTTTATCTGCTACCAGCCTTTTAATCCCGTGATACTCCTCAGCTCCACGTACGGATGCAAGGTTTGCACCTAAGGAGAGACAGTTTCTCTACAGTGGAGACAAATAGACAAAGATAGGACACCAAAAGCGAGAGGAAGATGCAAAGTTACCAAGTCTGCAAGTCCATACAAACAGAACATCTGCATCAAATCCAAATCATCTCCTGTCAAACCTCAGCCTGAGCCCAAGTCATGGTTCGTGGAACAAAGAGAAAACAGCGACCGCTGATCTTAGTCCAACCACTGGGACAAGATGTTGACCTCTCCAAGATATGATGCTCTCCTGATCAAGTCAAAAGAAGACAAGTGGGTCAAGTTGAGTCTCCAGACAAAGTTTACAAAACACAGTGAAGAAATATGTATTCACCTTCTTGAATTATTGCCACTTCCCCACCTTCATCCTTTGCTTCTGAAAGAGCTGAACAGTTAAACACACCAGTTAGTGATTATGTCCATCATGTTGCTGTGTATTTTTCCTCACAAACAAACTCAGTCAGAACACACACACATGTTGCAAACAGCGACTCTCACCAGCAGCTCTGGTCAGCGTGATCACGGCACAAAGAAGTGCAGACAGAATCAGCGTCTTCATGGTGGAGGTGATGCTGATTTAAAAGTTGATGATTACCTTCAACAAAGAGAGACAGACGTGTTAGTAATACTTCAGAAACAGAAGTAACGACCGCAGTCCTCCTACAAATAAGTGACAACAAGATAGAAAACAAAAACATGGAGAGAGAAAAGTGAAGCAAACCTGCTGGAGGATTATCTTCTTCTTCTTCTCAGTGTCAGCCTGAGTGTAGATGCTGAGAAAGACTTATATACAGTAAGCTGACCATGCAATAATCACTAAATATGTTTACACAAGTACGTCTGTACATTATACATACATGCTCCACCTTAGTTGATGGTGGATTATAAAAGAGATGCCTAAATAATTAACTTAACAGCTGTTCAGATGGCATCAGCTGTTTACTTTAAAGGCTAATCTATGTTTCAAGTCAGTGAGAGGGTTAACACAACCTGAAAGCTCTACAGTTAGATATTAATATCACTAGATTCAGCTGAATGTTTCAGTTTGTCTTCTTAAATTCTGACAACTTCAAAGGACATGCAACATGCAGACTGAAGGACGTGGGGATTGAACCACCCACCCTGTGACTGGTAGACATGGACAACCTGCCCCTCACAGTTTAACTCTGCAAAAGCATGTAGCGTAAGACATGCGGGTTTTAGGTTCATGTTGATGTAAGACAGTGGTACTCCAAAAAAGTTTAAGCTCCCCGACTCCATGAAAAGTGGAATCAATCACTGTGGCCCTCCATGGGGGGCCCAAGCCCCAGTTTGAGAACCACTGATACAAGGTAACAGGTAATAGTTTAGTTTTATTACATTTATTCAGGCAAAGTACAAAAGTACAAGTACAAAACATGTATTTAATACAAAGAGAAGAGATCTATGTGTTACAGATGTGTATCAGATCCAGCTCCTATAGCTACTTCTCGTCTGCAGGCCCTGGGCAGATACATGTTTGACATCACATGACAGGATGATGAAACCTACGCATCTTCTCAAAGTATCAGGGAGCTTATTCCATGCATTAATGTCTAATAAAAAGGGCAGATTGTGCAAAGGCAGGATGTCCTGTAGGAATTCTACTCTTTCCCTAGAAGTTAACCTAAAAGCTGTAATCATTTGCTCTGATCAAAGTTCAGCAAATCATTTCAGTGGTGGAGGTGCAGTATTGTAAGATTTCCACATGTTTTCCACCATTTGAGCTTTGACTGGAGCTCTTTGATATCATCACATTGCATCCTCTTCTTCTGCAATGATAAAATGGCACCTATTGGAGAATTAGCTCCATCAGCTGTTTATCTGGAGGAACCAACTCCTGATATTCTCGTACTGGACAGAAACACACATTCATACATATTTTCTTTGGCTAATGTTCCTGACAGTTGGTTAAAATTTGATGAGACTGTTAATGTCTCTGTTCCATAACTTATGGACTGATCGGGCACAGGACTGATTAAAATAGTTTGCCAAGTGGACGGTTTAATGTTATGTTAAAATTAATAGGCTGTTGTGTTGTGTTCTCCTCACCGCATTCACGAACCTCCTGCATGTTACAGCTTCCTAGCTGATGAAACTAACTCCCTCTTAGGGTCAGTGCTGACATAAGAGAAACTTAAATTTCCATGTAAATTAAGTTATTGTACAAATGTTTTTTCATATCCGGTAATTAGCATTGGACGTGTCCCTGACACTGCAAAGTGTGTCATGGTGTGGTTAATGAATATTGACATGTGGCTTTATTATTTGATTGTTTTGGGCCTGTTCCCAAGCTTTACAGTGCAGCTTTGTGAGACCACATCCTTCTGCTCACCTACAAAGCTCTTAATGGTCATACGATGATGCCATCTTATCTTAAAGAGCTCATAGTACCTTTGTACCCACCAGAACACTGCGCTTGACTTCTTCCCTCTCCGGAAGTTTTGTTTTCTGCAGGTATTTCTGCCTGAACACCTGCTGCTACAATTGTTTTTCTTATTATTATCACTATTATAATTATTATTGTTATTACACGTTTGCTAATGATGAGAAGTGTTGAGTCTCTGTAAATAATATTACAAAGTCTATGGTTTAAATGAGCTCTATGAAAAGTGCAATTAAATAATTTCTCTTATGACTTGGTGGTATATAAATTAGATTGAAATTAATCTATGTCAAATATTCTTTTACCTTTATTTACACAGAGTAAATTTTATTTACACAGTTACACACATCTGCACCCCAATCCTGTTGTCCTTTAAACAGCCCCACAGAAGGGGCTTAAGGTTCAGTCCACTGAAGCAATGGCCTACATACCAACTTACCCAGCTGATCACATGGGCTCTCGAGACACGAGACAATTGCCACATGGATCGTATGCAGATGCCATCTTCCATTTATTCATACTGTGTAGTCATAATGAGATGCTGTGCTTTTCTTGACTGCTATTTGTCCTTTGGTGTAAACATGTACTGTGTCAGCTACTTTGTGTTGATTTGTTACTGCAGGCTGGTTAAAGCTATTTCAGTTGTTTGGTAGTCGGAGACAGCAGGTGTGAGTCAAGGGCAGGCCTTAAGATTTGCGTTTGGCTCTTCGGCCGCTGTCTGTGGTGCAGATCAAAGGCTGTAACTGCTTGGAGTCGTTGTGTGTCTGTACACCTGTGTCTACACCAAAGTTGCTTATGTTTTACACCGGGGCCACTCTCAATTATGTTACACTGCTGCACTGAAGTTACACAAAAAGAACTTATAACATCCCCCATTACAATCAGCAATCATCATCGATGTACAACTCGGACCCCCTTTTTTTTTTTTTTTCCTGTATTTGCTGACTTTTTGGCAAATTGTCACCATCTAGTTGCCATATTAGCCATTTGCAATTCCTAGTTGCAGTGTACTAGATTATGTCTACACTGAAGAATATGTTTCAAAAGAAGTCAAGTTCCGGAGTCAAAGAGGATTGTCTTTTAATCCGGGGCGGATTGGCCATCGGGAATTTTGGGAACAATCCTTAACACCCGGTCCGTTTCAGGCCGGTGTTCAAGAGTTTTTATTTTTCAGTTTCTTTAAATGAACCACGACTGTGCCGGCCAGTCAGCAGCGGTGAAAGCTGTCTGTGTCTATCAGACTGAGCCAAACCAATACGGGCCCTCCCAACTTGAACCGATCCTCGTTTATACTGAAATCTGATTGGCTCAAAGGCGCCAATCAAAGTAGTTTACTTTCCATTTAGGACGAGTTTAATGTCAATACGTTTTGTTGGTGCTGAACTCAGCGCTGGGTTGCATGAGAAGCACAACAGAGAAGGTAACTATGTCGAAAGAAAAGGGCGCAGTATGCAGAGCTGGGTAGGCAATAACTCATAGATAGAATTAGAAAATGGATTATTATTATGGATTATTACTGATGTTCTTCTTCATGCATATGTAGCTGTATAATCAGTACAAGCAGACTCAAGGTCCAGCACAGGGGAGCTGACCCAGGAATAGGCCAACTCAGTGCTGAAGATGAGGGATTTTAATTTTTCAACCTTGTTCTCACTCCCTGACTCGTCACATGGACACATGGTCAAGACCCATCGATGTCTGTTTGTAAAGCATTGGGGATCCCTTTAGCGTCATAGTTCATCGCAGTGGGGGAAGTCCTGTAGCGTCAGTTTTTGACAGTAAATGTAGGTGTATGATATCTAACAGAAAGGCCTGAGTAAGGAGGTGGTTGGGGTGAACCCTGACTTTGAACCGCAGCAGTGTTTGTGTCCTGTGTGAAACAAGAAGTCAATATTAAATATTTTCATTTAAGTTACGTAAATTGATGTGACGTTAGTTAATTTGTGTGTTAACTGACATACGTATAGTTATTGTAACCAAAACCATGATCTTTTCATGACCATAACCAAGTAGTTTTGCTGTTTCAGGACTTTAATAATCCGCTGTTTAAAAATGTCGGTTTCGAAACGCTGCTGTTTTATTTTGAAAGCCTAACTTGACGTTGCATATTTGTTGTTGCTAAGCGTTGCTAACTTGACGACGCCAAACGGCCTTGACCAAGCATCAATATGTGACGAGTCGGGACTGAGAATGTGTTGCTCTATTTTATGGGACTGTTTTTGATTGTATTTGAATATTTTAACACTTTGTCTACATCAGGCTTGCCTGGCCTGGTCTTGTTCAGTGCAGTGGCGCCTTACTTATACAAACTTAAGAGGCGGGTGTCACAAAAGTTTCTTGAAGGTCTTTATCATAATATAATTGACTGTATACAAGTACAACACAATTTATTAAAATACCTACAAACATCTCTGCTGCTCCCAAACACGACACTTGAAAGGCCTTTCCGTGTCCGTCCCAGTACATCCCTGCTTATACAAACTTTTAAAATGGCTTTATGGATGTTTAGTCATGATGAATGGATAATTGATATCCTCACAAAGTATAAGTGACACTGAACCACCACACTGAACATGTGTGTTTCATCATCATCTGTGTTAAGATTTGACTGAATGATAACTCAGAGGAGGAGTTTTAAGTTTGATGCAAATTGCAGCAGTCGGGCACAAAGGGTTGTAAAACACCTGAATTGCCTCCAGCTGCCTGCTGTTGCAGCAACTGCTTAAGTTATAGTGAATAGATAATAAATGGAGATCATAAAGATAACATTGAAATAATTGTTTGTCAAAGGTAACTTCACTAAGCAGGAACACTCACATTCATTATATTAATAATAATAATCTTTATTTGTAGAGCACTCAAAAACAAGTTACAAAGTGTAAAGACAATAATACCCCAAAAAAAATAATACAAAAACAATACAAGATAAAAGCAAGAAAACATTGAAAAGACTAAAATACACGAAGATAAATATAAAATAAGTAAAATAGAATAAAATAAAAGGGATAAATTAAAGTCAAATAAAATCGGGAAAGGCTCTCCTATAAAAGTATGTTTTAAGAAGGGACTTAATAGAGTGCACTGACTCAGCCGACCTGATTTCCTCGGGCAGGCTGTTCCAGAGCCTCGGGGCCCTGACAGCAAACGCTCTGTCCCCTTTAGTTTTCAGTCGAGACTCTGGAACAGACAACAGACCTCTCCCCGAGGATCCCAAGGTACGTGCTGGTGTGTATGGGACTAAAAGGTCAGAAATATAACAAGGCAAGAGGCCATGATGAGCTTTAAAAGTGATCAATAAGATTTTAAAGTCAATTCTAAAACATACTGGGAGCCTCTAAGGCTATCGCTATTGGGTTTACCCCTTCCGCGCGCCTGCCCGGCACTGAGAATTAGTCTATGCCCACCCACAGCGTGGGCCTCTCCTACGTCCGCACCTTGAATATATATACAACGGTGAGACCCAGCCTTCAGCTCCCAAATGCCTTTTCTTCAGCACTGAGAAGCAAGGTCCAGTGAGGCCTACAACTTCGGCTGCGCCTATATTTATAGAATCCGGGTTACAATACGTAACCCCCATTCTATTTCATATAGGCTTCACCCTCTAAGGCTATCACTATTGGGTTAGAGGCGAAGCAGGCCGAGGGCCGACCCATGCATAAGTCGGGAAACTTGGTTGGGGGGCCCCGCAGCTGTACAGAGGTGGGGTCACGACAATGTATTAGATCAAAAGGGTGCTTCTACTAAATACTGAGCAAAGGGTCTGAATACTTATGACCATGTGATATTTCAGTTTTTCTTTTTTAATAAATTTGCAAAAATTTCTACATTTCTGTTTTTTTCTGTCAAGATGGGGTGCTGAGTGTACATTACTGAGAAATAAAATGAACTTTTTTGATTTTTGGAAAATGGCTGCAATGAAACAAAGAGTGAAAAATTTAAAGGGGTCTGAATACTTTCCGTACCCACTGTATGGCAAGTGTGTGCCAAACACGTTAGGCACGGCATGCGACAGTGACGCTGGGGAGAATTGTGTTTCTTCTTGAAAACTTTCCGTACCCACTGTATATATACAAGGTGCGGACATAGAAGAGGCCCGCGCTGTGTGTGGGCGTAGACTAAAATTCTCAGTGGCACAGACAGCTTTCGCTGCAGCTGACCTGCTGGTCGGCCTGCCCGGTCATGGATCATAAAGCACAAGGATTAATACTGTGTTAAAATTTTAAGGCGTTACGATTATTGTGATTATTTTGACAATTTTAATAATAATGTCAACATTATTTCATCATGGTGGCTGATCATCAGTAGCGACATATCATATCTCAGTATTGTAGGATTGAGTTTGCTTTCTCACGTGTCTCTGTGTGCCCACTCTGGCACGTGTGCCATAGGTTGCCATCCAGTTTCTTTCTGCTCAAATCAGACACAAATTATTTAAAACCACAAGAGTAAATGCTCCGTATTTGTAAAGAGCCTTTCTTGTCTTTCAACCACTCAAAGCGCTTTCACACACATTCATTTACTGGTGGAACAGCCACCAGAGGCAATTCAGGTTTCAGGATCTTGCCCAAGGACACTTCGACATACAGCCTGGAGCCGGGGATTGCACCGCTGATCGTCCGATTAACGGGCAACCTGCTCTACTTCCTGAACCACAGTGTTGTGGTGGCATCCCTGCCTGTATTTCAACCCCGGTTCTCCACACAATTCTTGCTTTGTCGTTGCTCCATACCCGGTGCCACCTCTGTGTTCAGGCGCTCATGTTTTTTGTTTTCTCTCATTTTCCCTGTACTTTGTTGCTGCCGTCACTAACCCTGTCTCTTTGTCTGTTTTCCCTCCCAGGTTCACTCACTCATCATCCGTTCTGCCGGCTGGGCTCATCCTCTGGTCCTCTCCTCTATGGGCTTCCCCCACGGCATCCTCCCAGTTCCCCCCTGCGTCCTCCTTTCCTCGGCCCCAGTGTTCCCCAGCTCCCTGGTCCCAGTCCCGTCGGTTTCCCTGTGCCAGTGTTTCCCGGCATCCACCTCTCCATCCAGTTCCTCAACCCTCTTTTTCCCTAAATAAATGTCCTTCGCTCAGATCTCTGCGTTTGGGTCCTCTCTTGAAATCATTTATAAGCCATGTAGATGTTGTGGCTATAAGATATCGCTATTATTAGATTGATTCTGATAGCCATGGTCCCTAAAGGATGAATCCTTACTAGTGATCCTCTCAAATTTTGTTCATGAGCCACTAGCAGGTCAATGTTGTGAGTTCTCCAGATAAATATCTCAACATTTCCAAGATGTTCCAATCTGGGGACCAGGTCATGTCTCGCCCACTCCAGAGTCATGCTGAAAGCATCCATGACAGGGTTCCAGGTAACATGGCAAAGTGATGTCCTCACCAACCATTGCCAGTATTGGATGGATGGACCAATCACATTAGACTGAGCTGAAAAGCATTATGGTGTTTATTTCTGCAGAATACACTTGTTTAGTACAAAATCAGCAGAATAACTTTACATGTAAACATAAACTAGACTGTTAGGGATGTGTGTAATTTACCTCTACATGAGTGTATCATGGCGAGGAGGATGAGTGTGGAAATCCAGGACAGTGAAGGCACCAAAGTAAAGGGACTGACTGAGCTTTACATGAAGCATCCTGGAGTTCTGAAAATAGAAATGAAGCGATATGACGTTTAGGTTAATACAAAAACACTTTTAAGATAAGAGACTGTATTGATCCCACACTCAGGATCCAGATAAAACACTACAAAACAGATAAGAAAATACACATTAAAGCAAGGTGGGGTGAACAAAACTAACATAAGAATGAAAATCACCAAACAATGAGGAATTTTAATCACTTTTAATAAAACACAGGAGTTAAATATTATCAAACCCTTTTTATTTCTCTTCTATTGATGCTAAAGAAGACTTGTGTAAAAACATGCAGCTGCAGAACAGGTGACTTTCAGACTTTGTTTAATATAATAATAGGCCTATTCATAAACATCAGCACAGTGTGACAGTGAACTCGGTCAGTGGCACCATCTCCTGGTTATAAAGATATATTTTATGTTCATGTCTGCAGATGCATTAAACTGTAATCATAGTTGAAGTGTGAATCCAAGCGTGTAAATAGAAATCCTAGTTGCGTTTTAAACTTGTAAATGTATAACCAATAAATGTCACAAAAAGTGCCTCACCTTCATTACATTTAAAAAAAATAAAACGGGGAGATCAAAAGATAAATCTAATTTCAGGCTGTTTTGTGTCATGAAATTGTGCTTTGTTTTTTCTTTTAACAGTGATTATACACAACATTTCTGTGATCCTTCTTTTCTGTTTTTGACTTTTGCTGAATTAATTCTGCATGTTCTCCAGAAAATGAAGCTTGATGGTAGTTGAGCTTCCTTACAGCAGGGGGCAGAGTTCTAATAAATGTTCAGCAGTGAACCAGTGATGGCAGAAATATGAAGGGATGCATAGGAAGAAGAGGGGGACAGCAGACATCTCCATACCTGAGAATATTTTTTATTTTTATATTTTGCTTAATTCGCTGCTTCCGACTGTTGTTAAAATAGGTTCTCAACAGATAAGTAAAATATAAGGAAGCTAATGCACTGTGGTTGAACTTTAAACTCTTTAACCAGGTAATTGAATGTTTCTGTTTGTGGGGAAACCAAATCAGATACAAATTATTTCTCAAAGCTGAGAATTGTTTTAATGTTTTAAAACGTTTTTCGAGGGGATCGCATTTTTAATGAAAGTATTTAGTCACTTTGTAACACTATTGCAAATGGATTATATCAGAATAAACCCCTCCTGATTTATAGTCTTTTTTTTCAAGACTGCCAATTGATCCTGGTCTCAAACTGTTCTTCTTTCCTAAATTATGAGGAAACATCAGAAATGTTGAGAGATTTCAGACTAATCTTATTAAGGAAATGCTACTTCTGCCAAATCTAACAAAACATTGATGAATCTAAACATACTTCAGGTAATTTATAATAACTGATGACTCAGCAGGCAGAAATTGTCGTATCACATTTTTTTAAGCTGCAAAAAAAGTTGAAGCTGCCACATGACTGTTTTCACCCTGCTCTTTGCTAATGATAGTCGGCTTGTATCAATTCTGTGTATTTTGTCACTAAATAAGTTTTCACATTCCCACACTCTTAGTTTCACTTGTATATGCAGTGAGATGCTTCAGCTGTCATAAATGTGAGCCGAGCTGCAACAGCTGATGTGGACAAAACAGCAGATTGCAGTAAACAAAAGTTTTTTTGTTGATTTTTTTAGTTGATACAAAACCATTCAAAGATGCCCACATTTGATCGAGATGTGGGAAATAAAAACAGGAGATATGACACAGCTTATTTCAGTGCTTGAGACTTTTATTCTTTCAAAGACAAGAAAGAACAGTTCACTGTGCAGAATAATATTGTTCTAAACAACAGATTCAATCTGCTGTTATTAAAGCCACATGGCCTCAGAAACGATCCAGCAACTGTTTCTGTCACTTGTTGTTTCTTTCCTTAAGTTGCGTCACAGCGATATAAAAATGTGATTTAAACAGAAATATATGGAGATTTGAGACTGATGGCACAAAGACAGATGCATCCCACATACACATAAACACGCATCCACCCATGTTTGGGCTTCTGGGAGGTTCTTCACCTGAGAATTATCAGGGCTTTTTGGCACAAACTGATGGGAGGCGAACGTTACACCAGGTGTCATCCCAGCGCTTATCATCTGAAAGTACCAACGACACAGCAGTTAAGGCGACACTACAAAAACCAACATGTGAAAGTATGTATACTGACATTCACAAAGAAAGAATATTTGAGACTGAAAGTTCATTCATTCGACCCATTAGCAGCTGGTCTGGAGCTTTCACACGGTTTTCCTCTCAAAATGGTGATATTCAAATTTCTTTACCGTTAATGACGTTTCATCGGTGTTGTGTTTAAGATCTTAAAATACGCAGGACAATGGAAATTTGAAAAACCTACAATTCCATGACACTTCATCAAACTCTAACCACTGAGGAAGATCATGTAATATGGTCAACTACTAATGGACCACGTGATGGGATTGTTCTGTGCACACAACACAGCACTATGCCATACATACATAGCATTTTAACAGCAAAGGTTTTTGTTTAATAAGAGAAAACCTTCCAAAAAAGTATAGATATGAGTGTATTATATGCTACTCATACATAATGCTCTAAATGAAATCAGTACGCTGTGATTTACCTCCATAATTTATCTGTAGACAGTGCTGCTTGCCCTGAAAGTTATTAAACCTTCCATAAGACCGATAGTTGAAGGGTGTACCATCACTCCACAACCACACACCCTCCTAGAAGACACAACAAAATATTAAATTAATTAATAACACTAATAACCAGAAGACCTCGTGTAAAGATAAATATACCTCTTGTGCATCCGAGCCTCCAATCCACGTTACTGTGTAATCATAACTTGCGCTCATGATCAGCCTCTGAATCTCATGGTACTCCAGCAGGTTGTGAACGGACGCAAGGTTTCCACCCATGGACTCACAGTTTTTCTACAGTGGAGATAAATACGAGAGAGAGAGAGAGAAATTGCAAATTAACCAAATGTCTATGTATGTGCAAACAAAATAAACATATTGTAGAAGCCTTCTGTACTAAAACAGTCACTAAAAAGTCTCCCTCTTTACCTCAGCTTGGGCCCAAGTCATGGCTTTTGGAACATAGTGGAAACAGCGACCGCTGAACTCAGACCAGCGTCCAGAACAAGCTGTCGAACTCTTGACCGGGTGACTCTTTGCTGAGAACAAGTAGAGTTTGGTGAGTAATGTGGAGTCTCCAGTTAAAGTCTCTATATGTAGATATGAAATCAACTTATTTTCATGACATGACACTATAACATAACATAAAATATTCATGTCATGATACAACATAAAATTACTTTACACAGTAAAACACAATTGCGATTTAAATTCCATAACGGCATAATATAAGTAAACGTAAAAACGTTAAAATAACGTAATAAAATATAACACAACTGACCTGGCTGGCCATTTTCATGTGCTGCCTCTGGAAGAGCTAGAAAGTTATACACAGCAGTTATTGATCTGGATTGTTGTCATACAAAACATTCATCTGTAACACTTTGTATTTATAAAGCTGACCAGCAGCTCTAGTCAGAACCATCATGGCACAAACAAGTGCAGACACAGTCAACATCTTGATGATGATGATAACCTGCGACAGAGAGAGAGAGATGTTACTAATACGTAGAGAACAGACAACCCATGCTGACTGTCAGTCCAGGAAAAGGAAGCGCGAAGCTTGTAGCTGCAGAATTACCTTCTTCCTTCTCAGCTTCTGTAGATTCTGCTGTACAGTGCAGAGACAATGATGAAGAGAAACACCAGCCCTTATATGCAGCTACTTATCTTGGCATCTCTTAAAAAACAGAACTGAACAACCATACACAGAGACATCACACATGGTATACTCAGTAATGTGCCTTTATTTTGTCTGCTAACATGTAAATGATGTAATCGATTTAATTCAAAAGCATTTATACTAATAGCTAGAAATCATAAATACTTTGATCCCTGAGGGAAACTGTTGCGTTACAGTTGCTCACTTTACTAAACATAACATTAAGTAAATATAGATAATATAATGAAATAGAAAATAAAGATGAGGGCACCCCAGTCTCTGAGTTGTTTGGCCAACATGAGTCCCATTTGTCCAGACCAAACCTTTAGGAGCAGCCTTAAATCAAAGCTGGGCCAACACATCTATCCCGGCTCTCTTTCCTCTCCTCTGAGTGATCAGTGACCTGCCGTGTCATAGGTATTGTTTTGACAATAAAGCCGGAAAAACAAACGTGTAGTGAAGTTTGAATGAGCTACCAGCTGCTGCATCTACATGTGCAACCAGCAGTTGAAGAGCTCCTCAGAAAATAGAGACAGCTCCGGCCCTTCCTGTAGAGGGCTTAAGTGTTCTTGGCCCAGTCCAGTTTATGGTCAGTGTGCACTCCCCGGTCATCCACATGATCCAGTGGCTCCCTGGATGGACATCGTGAGCTAAGGAGGTGCCACTGTTTCCTACAAATTTCATTTATATAATAATTTGCATCAGAAGAATAATTTATCACTGTTAACTGCATATGAGCTGTGCAAGAACAGAAAGCCAGTGTAGCAACTGTAACTAAGGGCGACTTAGTGATCAATTAGCAGCCAATATCATTTCCTACCTCAACATAATCGGGAAAATGACTATAAAACTAAAATGACTATATAAACATCATTTCTAGGAAACAGCGTTGGAAGATGAAATGCTCCAGAAACAAAGAGAGCCATTTGAGAGACCTGCCATTTGTATATAAACTGTGATGTCCTGATGAAATGAGGAAACTAAACACAACATGCCCTGCAGTAGTAAAAAAAGGCAATTTGTGAGTGAAGAACTAACAGAACAACAGTGTACAATTAGGTTGAACCTGGAACTTGTAGTGTTTTAAAATTAATATCACATTAATAAAACAGAGGCAGTAATGTAAAACACACAGTGGAACACTGACTGGGTTTAGAGGCTCTCCAAACTTTTCCTATTGTTCAGTCTAAAATACAAGCAAAAGAAAGCCTTCAAGGATGAATCTGCAATATGAAAAACCTTCTTATGGATATTAGTGTGCATGTCTTTCATGGTGGGAGGAAACCAGCGTGCCTGGGGGAACCCCACGAAACCACGGGGAGAACATGCAAACTCTGCGCAGAAAGGCCTGCTGAGCAAGGTCTAAACCCAGAAACAAAGCTGCGAGGCAGCAGAGCTGTCCCATAAAAGAGGTGTAAAAACAGGGTTTGGGTGGGAGGGATGTGAGAACTGACAGCTTATATACGTGAGTGCATGTGATTGGATTCGAGAGGCACATGTGGATGAAATGAGTGACGCACTGGGTGGTTGATTGGAGGAATAGAATGAGGCGCAGGTGGTCGAATAAGTGAGAGAGGCGTGGTCCTGAACCTCAGTCTACATAACTCCATTTCACTAACAAGGACCACACCAATGTTAGATGTTATAGTGGTTAATTGTGATGAATAGTTATGAAAGGAAAATATACCAGTGGCAATGACATATACACTGTGGTGGTTTTGGGGGGGAGCCAACAGGGGCCAGTTCCCCTTGTCAAATAAGTTGAGATCCCAACGCTCTTGCTATCAGGTCGCAAAGAAGAAAACTGGAGCCTTTCTTCCTTTAGTAACAACAGTGAGTGAGAAAAGGGAAGTGCAACATCCTTCCATCTGCAAAACACAGAGCTTAACAAAGATATAAGCAATATATTGAATAATGATTAAAGGAAAGATATTTGGTATTAAACATGATATGATGATTGAAAATCAGGATATCTCATTGATATTGAAGATTAATAAATTTAATTGATATTCCGACATCTCTGGCCCAACTGAATTTAAGGATGAACAAGCTATTGACAGGAAAAGGGTGGTGGCTGATTCGACAAAGAAACTCAGCTACGAAGTAGGATATAAAGAGGAGTCAGAGAGAGATCGGGGTTATTCCTCGGCAGACCTCAGAGGCATCGGACTCGGAGCAAGACCATCACCGCACCGGACCAAGATCCCAAGACAAGAGACGGGGATTTGAGCAGGAAAGAACTAGAGAACACTTCAGAGATTCTTCAGGGGACTCCAAGAGATCGAGCCACAGAGGGTAACCACAACATCCAAACCAACTGAAGAATCATTGGACTCTGAAGATTTTCTCTCACTCAACTGCAACGAAGACTGAAGACTTTTGAAGACAATTTGAGGGCTTTGGACAAAGCCTCAGGTTTCCACCAGGGTCATCAGCCCAGCAGAAGAGGGAAATAACTCCTTGGCCAGGACACCTCCTTCCCCTTCCTTTCTCTCCAAAAAGAGCTCAGCTATCACAATCAGGTTTTGAATTTTAGAGATTTTATCAGTTTATTTAGGTTTTAATCAGTTTTAAGTTGTATGCTTGCTCTTGCTTAATTTTGCAATACAATATATAATGACTGCATTTAAAGTACCAGTAGTAGACATTGAATTTATTTCTTCACAAAGGCAGTAATTAATTAGGTAAAGTGTGTTTAACATCTTTAAGGTTCTTATAGGTTGCTTTAGCCAACAACATATTTTCCTGGCCACTAAACACAATCCTAGCAGCTATACCAAGCGCACTGATCAATGAGAAGAGAGCTGTCGTTAACGGGCGTGGCTGGGGTGGTATTTGGCTCTAGGGCTATTCAGTCAGGTGCCATTTCAGAATAAGCAGTGTAGGCGTTCGGAAGAAGACAGTTAGAAGCTAGGCGAATATTTTCGACACCAGCTTAAACAGTCCTCAGTTATAATTAATAGGGTAATACCCATAGGCCTAGAGGATCGGACCCTTTACGACGGAGAGCTGGTCCAGTACCTAAATGTACATTAAACTTGAAGGCAGCATTATAGACCATATTTTGTCTTTGTAATCCATGTTTCCATTGCATGGATAGCCTTTGGATATTGCTGGAAATTGTTCTCAGTCCCCCTCCTTAAAGGGTAAATTATTATCATTATCATTTTTAACAATTTAATAATGCATTGCATTTAAACAGAACTTTCCATACACAAAAGGTGATGACAGTAACTTACTGGTCCTGCCTGGCTGGACATTCTGCAATCTGCCAAAATATGTATTCCACTCCATAATGCACAGATGATGGCCTATGTCAAGTATTTTATTTTGTGTATATTTCACATCATGTCTAATAACAGGGGTGAATATGGTGGTGTTTCCTTTTTCCTAGCAAAAGTTATAGTGGGATACAAAATACAAACTGGGATCCAGAGAATGTCTAGTACACTAGAGCTTAAAGTGTTCATTAAGCCTATACAAAGAAGTGTTGCTTCAAAGAATTTTTTTGTTTTTTTTGTATAGTGTAATTTAATAGAACTACAAGTAATAAAAAGATCCTGTTACTGAAACAAATAACTGTAAGTTACTGAAACATACTAAAACATTACATTATATACTAAACAAGACATTTTGAAAGCTTCAACATTACCTTTGTCTCTTTTGTCCCGGATTGATTGTGCCCCTCTGACAAAACAACTGGCCCCCTCAGTGAAATTGGTCTAGAACCGCCACTGCATATACGTAGGGAATGGAGATGGACAGGGATGAATAACCCTCGTAGATAAACTGATGGACTGATGTGCTGAGCTGATGTGTGTAAACGGGAGCCAGGAGTCTGAGTGAGTCATCACAGAAAGACCGACAAAACAAAATGACTGACAGTATCATCCAAATACAATATTTGTCTGTTCACAATAAACCATAAATTTTTTTACAATTTGTAAAACTTTAACAGATGTTAAGCTTAAACGCAATCATTAACGATGAGATCCATGACAGCCCATTTAGAGAAATGTTGCACTAATTTTGCACAAAGCTGACACTGAAAATGATGTGGAGATAAAATGAAGACTCTGATGATATTGAAATTCCTCAACTTCACTTTTGATGTTGATTTCATAAGTTTCTACTTCCGTCTTGACCTGAAAGATAAATAACCTAATATTTCTTAAAAATGTTCTTGGGCAATGACATGTCAGGGTTGTTGATGATTTGATAGTCATGAGTGTATCTACAAGTCATGTTAGAAAAAATACAACACAATAGTGTTTTACACCCTGTCCAGCATTCTATTTTATTTGGGAGTCACTGTGTCCCTGTAAATGTCCCTTTTTTGCAAAACCAACTTTATTGTTTTTGTTTTTATGTTGCTTTCCTGTCCATTTTGCATGTCAGACTGTTGAACTTTGCATTAATTTCCTAATGTGGCTAGACTAGAGTGAATTGTAGGCCCACATGCTGACTGCAGCAATGTTGAAACAGTAATATTGAGGGATGGAAGAGACATCAGCAGTGTGTGTAAAGTCAATCTGACACTAATGCAACCGTTTTGATTCACATATACAATTAGCATTACTGCAATAGTATAAGTGAAAATTCTGCAGCTCTGTTGAAGTTCCAGTGCAAAATAAACATAGATACTGTCAAAAGCCCTGGGTCTGTTCTGTTGTCGTCATGTAGATTCACATTGCATTACAAACAGCACTGAGTCTCACTCAGCTGTTTTTTCACCGGGAACACAAGTTACATTCAAATGAAATGTTCTGTGTAATCAAATTTTTTCCTCCTTACTAGATGAAAAATAATTTATCAGTGTTTGCACTGTTTGTATCAACCCAACAAGAACAATGTGTTCCCAGATTGCAGGGTTACTTGTGGTTCCAAAAGTAAAATTGGAGCTAGATCCTTCAGCCATCAAGTTCCTCTCCTGTGGAGTCAGGTCCCAGTTTGGATTCGGGAGGCAGACACCATCTCCACATTTAGGAGGAGCCTTAAATAAAACTGATAATAACTGCTTTTAAGTTCACTTAATATCCAATTCTCTTCTGTCTTCCAGGAGAACCAGTGGTTCTGGATTGATGGTACACCTTTTAACTACTTGAACTGGTGTGGTGGAGAGCCTAATAATCTGGGCGGCAGGCAGAACTGTTTGAAAATTAATCATGGAGGTAAAACGACATAGTGGTTTGTGTAGAAGTGATGTGAATTATTCCAAGTGATGAAAGCTAATTTTACAATTAAAATTCCATAAAACTTACAGCTCAGATATATAACATTCTGTGTCCCTAGTAAGCAATGTCTTTGTGAATCAGATTTCCATTCATCCATCCATCGTCAACCGCTTATCCTGCGTACAGGGTCGGGTGAAAACATTCATTTTCTCTGTTTTTTTGGTACCTGCAGATCAAAAGTGCTGGGATGACTGTTAGTGCGAGTTTCGAAGACCGTCTGTCTGATGATTCCTGTGCTGTAACAGAGTCATGAAGGCTTCCGTCTTTCTACCAACAGTTTCACATTTGAGCTGAACTCTCTATATCTTATTTCATATCTCCATTGCTGTGACTCCACTTAAAGAACAAAGTGACAAGTGACATAACTGGAGCTGGATTGTCTCTTAGGCCTTGTGCCTTTAAGCAGAGCAGACTGAATGTGTTATGAACTTTCTTTTAGAACATTCTTCCATACAATATAATCTGTAAAATGATACTTTTTACAAGAATAAAAGGCTCAAGCACTGGAACAAGCCTGTCATAAATCATAATTACAGCCTGGGGATATATATATATATATATATCTAAAGGGGCTCTCACGATTATACTGAATAATATTGTGTTCCTACTCAGTGAAGTATTCCTTCCCACAATGTCCCTGTCACTCTGTGTTCTCTGAAACTAAAACTGGAGCTCCTGTTAAACTGAGTAACAGATTTAGAACAATTGAATGTTAAATATTTAATCACACTATTCCTTCCCAGTGTCCCTGTCACTCAGGATAATCCACAGGCCAGAAAAGGGGTTTTGGATGTTCAATGAGGAAAACTAGGACAGCACCTGTCACAGGTCACTGGGCCAGGTTACCTGACTAATCATGCACATGCAGAGGGGGGTGCCATGGGTGCTTGAGCACCTGCCCTTTTGCCCTTTGATGCCCAAAGTGCCCTTTTATCAATGCGAAATTTACTTTATTTATTTATTTTTAAATTTGTAAAGGCCCCTTTGTGAAGGTCTGCCCAATCAAACTATTAGTAAAATGAACGAATAATAATTTTGCATTAAATAAAATGACCCATCCTTTCACCTGATGACCTCATCCGTGACGAGCCCTCCCGTTCACACACCGTTAGTGATTCAGCAGCTCTGACCACAGGACACCTGCGATTACGCCGGTAAGAGGGGTTTGCTGCAGTGTGCTCGTTGTGGGTTGTTCAGCTCCAATCGGTTGTTGGGTGTATTTTACAAGACAGACAAAAGTAGAAGTAACGTTAGCTGCCGGCTAACACTGTGCCCACAGCTAACGTTACTTCTACGCACAGATAATCAAAGGTGCTCTGTTCACTTCGTTCTTGCTGTTGAGAAAAGTTTCACGGTATTTTTTTTTATGTAAATTGACTAAAAATCTTTCACTTACACTAGGATTATTACAGTAACTTAATAAAAAACGTAGTGTGACTTAAAACAATTATAACAACATTGGTAAAACCGGTTCATACTGATACTTACTCCTACGACTTACAGCTTACGTATCAGCCCTTTCTTTAAATTATCATTTAATTCAGAAAAGTATTGGAATAGATTTTGCCTACATTTGAACTGTGTTTACACCAGCAAACCTACTCTAAAACTAAATAACTGTAAATAGGCTACATGTAATAATGTCAGCGTCAATGTAAAATAAATAATATTCCTGGCATCAAAGTAAAGAGTGAAGAAGAAGGCCCTTTTAGATTTCAGGTAAAAGGTATGAATTGTTAATGTAGCGAGCGTTCGGGGTGGTGAGTTTACATACAAAGCCGCGACTTCCTGTCGGGCGGGCGCAAAGGCCTTCACGTTGCCTTCGCGTGAGTTGAAAATTTCTAACTCCAGTGAATTTTCGCAGGTTCTAATCACCTTTTCGCGTTGTGTGTGAACAGTGTGCAGTGAATGTACTTACGCGAGGAAAGCTTCCTGAGGATTAAATTTGTGTTTGGTCTGAAAGCACCATAAGGAGACTTAACACTTAGGGACTCTAACCCTTCTTTAGCACTGTAAAAAAAATAACAAACAGACAAAAAGATTTTTTCTGTTTTTTCAACATTACATGTAAATACCATGAAAATACAGAAAAAATACTTTTATTAAAAACATTAACCATAGTTGTAACCTCATAGCAGTCAGCCTTGGCAGCAGCTGCAGCACTACAACAGGTCAGTCATAGTGAGCCAGTCCCAAACACTGTCAGCAATCTTTACATCTTGTCACGGTCACATATTTGTTTAATCAGCTAATATATCTCCTATGTTTGTTTAAATATCTCTAGTCACAGATCACCTCCAGTAGTATCAGCAGCAACAACAACAGCAACAGCAACAGCAGCAGCAACATCCCCAGCAACTCCTCAACAGCAACTGTTCCCTGTAAGTTATGTCAGCCCACAGTGTTTCTTTTTCAAAACTGCATCAGCATCTGTGTACGCGTATCAGCAAGGGATGCATCACAATATATTTCAGTATCGATATTTGGAGAAGAGCCCTATTTAAATCCTTGTTCCGTGTGCCCCTTTTATACTTTGAGCGCCTGCCCTTCCAGAGGTCTCTGCACGGCCCTCTGACTAATACTCTGTTGGTCTGGTACTCTGTTGTTAGTCTTGAGTGATGTTATGTTATGTCATTTGGCCAAGCATTATATAAGAAGTATGTAGGCCTATTTGATACATGCACCACTGCTACTATGCAGATGTAAAACTTCTTCTGATTGAGCTTGTGAATGATTCTTTTATTCTTAACCGTACTGTGCACTATAAGCAGTGGGCTATGGATGCTGTTTGGGCTGAGATAGAGTGAGAGAGAGAGAGAAAGCGAGACCAAAACTTAAACCCGTGCTCATTGTCTGTATCTGGACAAAATTTGAAAGAGAGGTTGAGTAATTATTTCATCAGTTATCAAAAGTGTCTCTGCGACATCACTTTTAGTCAGTTTATTTAATGTCAAATCATCATTATCAAACAACCATGTCACTATTTGACAAAACATCACAATGTGTTAAACAATTGATAGTTTAAACTGAACAGACAAATATTGCATTGGATGATACAATCTTTATCACCTACCTACTTAAGATATGTTTTGGTCTCATCTAGTCAGCAGTATAATTTACCCAATAACCATAATATATCATAAACATTATTTTCCACAAGGGGCAGCAGCTTTGTTTATATATTTAAAGCCATACATTCATATATACATATAATGCATTTATAAAACTTTACAAAAAAATACACATCAACATACACAACAATACAGACAAACACAGACACAAAAAAACACAAGGATTCAAGACCTGTCTAGAACAATAGAGAGAGGCAGAGAAGTGCCCTGCAACACATGCATTCAAAACAGAAGTTGGGGAATTATTACATCAGAGTAAGTGTGCTATCTCTGCTGCAGAAATATCACTGAAGAAGATGTTGCATAATGCAGAATCATCCATGAAAGTCTTCTTTGCGTGTATTATTGAACAAAAGAAAAGTAGGAGGAGCCTCTAAACCCAGTCAGTGTACCAGTTTGTGTTTTACATTACTCCTGCTGCGGTTTTAAACATTGCCAATTGAAGCTGAGCTTTTAATTGTTCTTCCTTGGCTCCAAAAACAATAACTTTTTATCAGTTTTATCTTTGTTAATTGAAGAAAATTCTGGTGGATTCAATTGTTAATTTGTTCAATACAGTTACTCAGCGCTTGAATGGGATCATAGTCCCCTGTTGATATGGTTGTGTAAATTTGTGTGTCATCTGAATAATTATGGTAACAAATTTTGTTGTTTTTCATAATCTGAGCCAGTGGAAGCATGTAAACGTTAAACAGAAGAGGACCCAGAATGGAGCCTTGGGGACTCCACAAGTCATTTTTCTTAGCTCATGTGTAATTACCTATAGACACAAAGTAGTCCCTGTCCTTTAAGTAGGATTCAAACCAGTTTAGTACTGTGCCAGGAAGTCCCACCCAGTTTTCAGGTCTGTCGAGTAATATGTTGTGGTCGACTGTGTCGAAAGCAGCACTGAGATCCAATAATACCAAGACTGAACTTTTGCCACTGTCAGTGTTTAAGTGGATGTCACTGAAGACCTTAACAAGAGCCGTCTCAGTGCTGTGGTGTGGTCGAAATCCTGACTGCAAGACATCATAATAGTTATTTAGTGCCAAGAAAGCACTAAGTAGTTGAGAAACAGCTTTTTCAATGATTTTACTTAAGTAGCCTATTTTTTGGTCCACAGATCCATTTGTATGTATAGATCATTAGTTTGTGTGACTGTAGTGTATAACTTTGGTTGTGTTTGGCTGTTTAGAGCCTTTTTTTCCACTGCACAGTACCTGCTCGACTTGACTCGCCTTTGTTTGGTTTTCCATTGTGGAAAAGTTGTACCTGTACCTGCTTCCAAGTACTTTGTTTTTGTATCACCTCCATCGAGGTTCCAAGTGAGCTGAGGCAATACTAAAATGTGACGTGAAAACACGGCAGAATACTGATTGATCAGAGAGAATTGTCACTATTCACTGCATCATCATTGTGCGTGCCAGACAACAGAAAGTTTGACATTTTACAGTTTTCGCATGTAATTTCCTCACTAAATCCACTTCGGAGAAGTTTTGAGGTGAGAAATCAACTGTGTAGATTTTGAATATTGACAGTTTTACCAGAAGTGATGGCGGAACAAAAATGTGCTTGAAAGTTGCCCCCCGACTCCATAATAAGTGGAATCAATCATTAACAACACAGGTGATACCAAAATAGCTTTACTTGCTACAGAACCCTTTTTTATTTATGCCACCACATGAATCATATTATTCCAACTTTGGGTCTGTTCAACATCCGTGCCCCTCCAGCAGTGGTACTGTGGCCCTCCAGGGGGGCCCAAGCCCCAGTTTGAGAACCACTGATACAAGGCAACAGGCAATAGTTTAGTTTTATTACATTAATTTGTCAGGCAGCAAGTACAAAACATGTATTTACAAAGAGAAGAGATGTATGTGTTAAAATGTATCAGGTCTAGCTCCTATAGCTACTTCTCATCTGCAGGCCCTGGGCACAGAGCCGATGTTATGTTTCTCTTATGTCACCTGTGTATGCTACCTATCGAGATTTGCTACTTGGCAGTTCTTTGCATGGCTAATGGTTAGGGTTAGGGTTAGCTATTTGCATTAAGGAAGCATAAATAGTCATAACACTGGAAAAAATTCACTGAAAAAAGAAACATAAAATAATAAAACAAAATGAAAGACAGCTGTCTATATTACGCACCATAATAAGCATAGTGGTGATTCAATTTAGTGATATACTATGGAAAATCAGCTGCCCCCATTGGTCAATTCGCTCTGACCTTCCCGTGACTCCTGACTGACCCTGTGACTCATTATGCTGGGTCAGTCAGGCTTGGTTTCTGACAAGAGAACATCATGTTTTTATGGACATGTAAAAAGACAACAGAAGCGCCTCGAAGAAGAGAAGAGTCAGGAAGATTAAGGTATGTGAGCCCACAGACTCCGTTT